TGAGTTCCAGTCTGGCTTTCTGCTGAACTGGAACGTGGAGCGTACTTTTGAAAGAAAAACAGTGTGACTGTTAGATGTTCTTCCCATTATCTCCGTTTGATAAAAAGCATTCTTCAGGTCAACAGGGCTTTCTAAAAGTTAAACGACATTGTTCTGCTTCCAACTGTGACTCCAGTGCTCTCAGGAAAAGTCCACATGGTAGAAGATGTAGGAAAATAAAAACAAATGAAGCCCTAGGGAACCATAACAAAATGGGGAAAAAAAAAAAAAAAAAGCAGCAATGTAGCCTGTCAAAATAAGAATCGAGGAGCCCTAACCCAAGTTCAAAAAGAGCTTTCCTTCTTTCTGCTTCACTAACACCTATCAGTGAAGACCAAACAAGCAAGCTGCAAGCACAAGGCATCTGAACTGGGACTGTGAAAAGGGTGTGTGGGAGGGTGGAAGATCCCAGGAGCTCTTGGAAGGAACGAGGTAGTGTGGAAATGTACGGTTTCATAAGGGAAACTTTGAGCATCATAAAGTAAGAATTGTATTTATGGAATTAAAACCAGCAATCAACAGTTAATAGTGTTAGTATCACTAGGAGTTTCTGTACCCGAACAAGTTACTTTAGGAAAGTACCCATTCTTTTTTTTTTTTTTTTTTTTTTTTTTTTTTTTTTTTCCTTTCCAAAACTGTAATACTTATTTTCAGTATTGCTTCTGTTGAAGGACACTGTAGTGAGGAGTGTTACTCGTTGTTAGCGCTTCTTCTTCTGTACGTGCAAGAAAAGCCTGTCTTCAGAAGGGGAGAAGTTGATAGAGGAATTCATATTTAACACGACTCGTTATGGAGCATTTGCCACCAGGCTGGTGACAACGATAACATGTTTGAAGAGATGTTCTGTGTTACCTTTGGATACGTTGCTGAATCTTTGTGTTTGAAACATGAGAGTAGTAACCTTCTCCTCTATTTTCCTTTATCCACCAGGCCTGTCGGTGTCTGGGTGTTGGGTTTCAAAGCTCACCGAGACAGGAGGGTTGTACAGCAGCTAGCACAGCACTGTCCTGCTCTCCACGTGGGCCTCTGCCCGTGCGGTGCGGATAATAATTAGAAGTATCATCAGTCAAAAATGTGTGGTGACGAGTACAGGTGGCTGCAGTTAGCATCAGGGTGCCCTATAAAGAGGCAATGCTGCCTCGTAAATTGGCCTTTCACTCTGAAGCGCCCTTCAGTAAGGATGCTGAGGCATGAACTGCATGGTAGGAGTAGTTTCGGGCAGTGCATGAATGTTACGGTTGTATGTGGGATGCTGGAGGTGCATAAATTTACGCTAATCGTGGAATGTGTTGTGCTCTCCTTTTCGAGGGCTGTTGTAATCTGCAAGCATGTTTGCTATACAAGTATATAATTTGTATTCCTCTAGCTTTGTGAAGCCCCTAATACAGATTTAAGAAGTAACTTTTAAAAAAACGAGTGACACAGCAGTTTTTTAGGTCGTGGCAGTTTAAGTAACCCTCATGAGAGAGGAGTAGTGTTTGGTGGGTGCTAGGGAGTTACTCGCCGCTCCTCCCTGCTCGGAGAGCTCCCTCATCTCGCCTGGCGGGAAGCTGGGACAAACCTTGACGTGGCCTTCGTGTGTTCCTAACTTGTCAAACCCAAAGTTTCAGCCTGTTTGTCTGGGGGGGAAATTGCGCAGAGTGGAACGCCTTGATTTTTTTCTTCAGAGTCTTCTGCTGCGATGGTAAACTAGAGTTCGGGGAATGTACGTGCTGCTGTGGCAGGGAGACACCAATCTCCTTTCTTTCTCAAAGACTGGCTGGTAACAAACGCTCGTACGCTGCTCCCGTAAATGCTGCGTCTTCCTAGTGGATGTGTGGCCTTACTCAGAGGAGAACCATGTATAATTGGAACTTTTTAAAACCGAATCGGTGCATACGCATGTCTCCAGAGGCTTGCAATTCTTTATGTACAGTTCATTCAAGTCAAACTGATTTTTTGAAACCAGTTCAATGCAAATATATGTCTGCAGAACCTTGCAATTCCTTGTGGACAGTTCAAGTCAGGTCGGTTACTAATTGATTACGTTTGATACTGAAATGAGCCTGGTTTAAGCCAGTCTTGAGAATATTGATGTGACCTGTTGTACTGTTTGAACTACCTTAGTTGAAAATCTCCCTTGAGGTAAACGGGTGCACTTTTCCTGTGTGGGCGAATCCCGAGGGGAAAGAGGGATCTCCGAGCTGGGATATCGAGGTGGAGGATGCACATCCCAAGGGGCAAAGAAGTGGAAAACCCCAAGACTCAAAGCAATGACATAGACATCCATGCAGAAAAGAAAGGAGTGAATCCTTGCCAGCTACAACAAGCGGAAGGTCGACCACGTAGCTCTTTGTCCCTAGCTCAGGAAATAATTGCTTAGGTGCTGGGTGATGCTTCCAGATCCTGGGGTTTTAGAACTCGGGCTTTAAGTGTTAAACTCGACATTCTCTCTAACATTCTCTCTAACACTCTTGATCCGTAAATTTATGACGGTTTACGTCAGAATAGCCCGAACCTATTTTTGCTTTCTTTGTGATTCGAACTTAACAGCGATACCTTCTATTATTCTTTATGCAGTAATAGTATATATTTAAAACAGGGCATTTCAAAGAGGGTAAGAGTCTGATACAGAGGACACACCTCATGTTTTGTTTATGCAGTCACTGGTCCCGTGAACTTCTTTTTAATACTTTTAGGCCATTAGGGACATTGTTGTGAGGGTAAAATGGTGTTGATTTATTTCTAAAAATGTTTCTCTAAACGAACAAATGTTTTATACGATTCTCAGATATGACTCAAGAATCATTTTGCTTGATTTTTTTCTTTTGGGGGGTGTGTGGTGTGTGTGGTGTCTTCTGTCCCACCCCCTCTTTATTACAAAAAAGCAGCCGCTTAATACTAAGCTCTGCTCCAAGTGATACTGCTTGTGTGTCACTTCAACCATGATGTGTGGCATTCCTAACGTTTTATTCAGCCATAATATTGTTGTTGATGGTTTTTCTCGCAGGCCCTAGTAGAATGAATTTATTTTAGTGAAATCCAGACTTTTTTCATTTTATAGATGTTAAGGCATCTTCCACAGAGCAAGGGGGCCTTTGTCGCTGAGAATAGCGTATAGAAAATACATATGTATCAGATAATGCCTTTTCTCATGTTGCATCTTTCAGGAGTTAGACTTTATTCTCGTACTAAATCCAAAACACAGCACTATGCCAGCTACTAGGAAGAAAAAGTAACTCTATCCTAGCCAAACCCAGGACGCTGGCCTTCAGACAGGAGTGCGAGAGTTGTGATGGATGTTAACAGACTGGTATTTAAATTTGCATGGCTCTGGATTACCCTTTCCTCCGTTTCTCAGCACTTGAAAAGAAGTTAAACTTGTACTATATAGCGAGCAGCTCCAATGTCCTGTTTTCTGTAATTCAAGGGATTATCCTTTTTTCCTTCCTATGCTTGGGTAGTTACGATAGGTAGAGGTGCAGCACTGTTGTCTGGGGTTCCAGATGTCATTTCAAGCAGTGGTGTTGGCAGAGCAGTAAATACGGTTATCCACCATGAACAGGAAGGGTGGCGTCTCCTCCCGCAGAGATGAGCAGATGAAGCCGCTTTGTAAGGGTTTCAAGGCTTTGGTGCCTTGGAGATGATAACTCTGTTAACCATGGCTGGTGCTGAGTGCACCTCCGTGGCTGAGCTTATCAGGATGTAGAAGGTGGCATCCTTGGTGTCGTGCTTTAACCCCAGCCGGCAGCTAAGCCCCCGGCGGCCGGCCGCTCGCTCGCTCCCCCCCAGCGGGATGGGGGAGAGAATCAGAAGGGTAAAAGGGAGAGCGCTCGTGAGTTGGGATAAAGGCAGTTTAAGAGGGAAAAGCAAAAGCCGCCCACGCAAGCAAAGCAAAGCAAGGAATTCGTTCGCTCCTTCCCGTGGGCAGGCGGGCGCTCAGCCATCCCCAGGGGAGCCGGGCTCCGTCAGGCGTCACGGGGAGCTGGGAAGACAAACGCCGTCACTCTGAAGGTCCCCCCCTTCCTCCTCCGTCCCCAGCTTTCTGTGCTGGTCCTGCGGTGCCGTGGTGTGGGATGTCCCCGGGGGCAGCTGGGGGCAGCTGTCCCGGCCGTGCCCCCTCCCAGCTCCCTGTGCCCCCAGCCTGCTGGCTGCTGGGGGGGGGAGGCAGCAAGGCCCCCGCTGTGTGTAAGCACTGCTCAGCAACAACACAAACATCCCTCTGCTGGCAACACTGTTTCCAGCGCAAATCCAAAACATCCCCCATGCTGCTGTGAAGGAAATTAACCCTAGCCCAGCCAGAACCAGCACAAAGGGTTTGTCCAAAGTTCAGTGCTTTTGTCCATCTGATAGGTGTCTTCTATTTTTAACGGCTGCTTGAATTCTAAGGCCCTATGTTCAGAGGCTAACAAGCAATTTTTAGGGCATGGTATCCTTTCTTGTGTGGGTTGGGGTTTTTTTGACTTTGTTTGTTTGTTTGTTTGTTTTCCAGTGTTTGTGGAGCAAAATTGGTTTTTCTTTTCATGCTTTGTACTTAAGGATAGTGAAACTGTATTGACTCTACCACACCGAGCAGTCTAAGTATCTAGTGGTTCATTTGATTAGTTGCTGGGCTGAACAATGAGGTATTAAATCGGTTTAAGTTTATATTGGTACACAGTGAAAATTCGGTATTCTTATGTGCACGTGATTTTGGCCATAATTCTGGAGGTATAGAATAAGCGCTTATATTGTTCTGGATATATAATTGAAAATGCGTGTTAGTAGAAGTCGCCTTTTGATAAACTACTATTATATCGTACATCTGCAGTAGTGATTAATTTTGAAGAGTGGTTTAAGGGTTTGTAAAAGCAGAACAGGCAATAGACAAATTAGCTACAACTGTCTCCTATTTACAGAACACGTAACAGTGAACCCAGAGCCTCTGGCAATAATTAACAGTAATAATTGTACCTTTTTTTTTTTTTTTTTTTTCCCCGTAGGTCACTAGCAAGCGTAGGAGAAGAACTGAAAGATAACTTTTTGCGGGCCCTGGCAGAAAGAGAGGAAGCCAATCGTACTGGAAAAATTTCTGTGAGTATCTGAGAGATCACAATCTTCTTAACAGCTTAAAAATGAATCTGAATAGGAAAGCGAGGTATTTTACAGGAAAACTTCAGGTACAACGTTTGAAAAAGATTATTTGATTTAGTTGAGATTTTTTTGAACCTTAGAAATTTGTGTTAATTTTTTTTTTTTTTAAATAAGCAAAGCATATGAAAACACTGCCCAGAAGTCTACAAAAGGTAAGTGGTGAGCTGAAGGATACAAGAAGAAAAACATCTAGTGCAGTGTATTTTGATTTCGTAGGAAGCTGCAAAATTCGTTCTCATGTGTGCTTGAAATAGAGGAAGATGCAGGCTGGTTGTTGGGAGAATCTCTTTGAAACTCATTAACATTGGTGCTTTTGGAGTTTCCCTGCTGAGTTTTGGTGGGGTGCTTGAGTTGTTGGGTGCAACACGGGAAAGCGTTCGGAATCTGGCGCTGCGCCTCCTGGCTCAGCCAGCTCGGACAGGCCAGCGAAGCTGTCCGTGCGCTGTGCCGGCCGGTGCTGCGCTTCGCCGGGATAGTGCTGGCGGAGGCCGCTCGGGCATCTCTCCTGCTTTGTCGGTCGCTTCCCCACGTTCACGGAGGTCTGCTCGGGGGACAGTGTTGCTGAAGTTTAAATTGCAGCTTGTAAATGTACCTAGATAGATCAATATCCTTCAATTTAAAGGGAGGATGGTCCTGTATCCTTGGCTTTTTAATAGCTTGAGTTTTGCACAAAGAAGAGTTTGTGCCCGCATGCTGTACAAGGGACGTTTTGAGTTTCACGATTTAAGTTCAATCTGCTTCCGTTTAAACTGCTAACACAACTGAAAACGAGCCCAGAATGGTCATCCTGGTCTTGCTGCTGTGTTTAGATAGAGTAGTGCTGTTTCTTGCCTTCTTTACGGGGTAGCAGGACCCTGGACGTCTGTCTGTTAGATTGCCTCTCATGTTAAAGAAAAATAATAAAAGTGACTGCACAGGCAGCGCTGGGCATTCTGGAAGTCCAAAGCGATCGTGATCTTCTTTCCACGCTCTGCTTGCTTAGGAAGTTGATCAGGCATACGCTAATGATTTCTTTGCTTTCCTTCAACTGTCCTAATTGAAGTAAAAGCATAACTCCCCTCCCTCCCTCCTATAATTCTAGGGTCAATATTTTTCTTTTATGGCTAGCTAATTAATCTCTAGAATTTGCAGAGGAAACGCTGCCTGAAGTGTGGTTGCGCATATGTGGAGCAAGGTCGTGATGGCTTAGCCTTGAAAATGGAAGCACTCTGTGACTTGTTCCACATATTTACCATAATGTTGAAGAAAAGAAAAAAAGCAATTGCTAATGGTAGCACCTTGCTCTGGTAGTGCCCTTTGTGGCTGTAGTTTTCAGAGCATCCTATAAAGGAAGTGCAATTTCTTCGTTTTACAGATGGGAGCACTACTGAGTTGTGCAGAACCCTTTCAGCGCAGAAAAGGGCTCTGGCTTTATGCTAACAGGCATTTCTGGCTTTCTGCAAGGGCAGCAGGGCTGAGGCCAGCACTTCAGACGGGCCGCGAGCTCCCTACGGATTGAGTCCAGTCTCCGCGCTGTGCCGACGGGGTGCTGCGTGGGGCGGGGGGCGGGAAACGAAACGGGCTTTTTGGTTACCGTAGAGGGCCTAGGGACGGCACTGGAAAGAGTCGAGGTCAGTAACAGCTTCTCGGTCTTGTGGGCACAGTGCAGCAGCATTCGCCAAGCACCTGAAACTGGGTCCAGTGCAGCCTGGGAACTCCTGGGAGCTTCTGCTAGAGAGTCCCCTCCTTGGGTGGAACTCGACCCTGAGAAACCTGGGCAGAAAAAGGTAGAATAGGTTCATATGCTTAAAACGATATTTTTTTTTTTTTTTCTTTTTTAACTCCTGGAGCTTACTAAACCAGAAGAGCTTTTGGGGACGTTTTTTATTCGTTTCTTTTTCTGATGCTCTGAGGCATTTCTTGATATGCTGGAGCTGGTTCCCCTCTCTGCTCGTGTGCTGTGTGTCCTTGGACTGCTGTGGCAGAGGCTATGGAAACCAGCAGGCGGGAGCCACCGCAGCTGTGGTAAGCAGAGCTTGGATTCAGAAAGCACCAGTAAGGTTTTAGCCCTCTGCTTGATGTGTTGCATGTAGGGCTCTAAAAAATGAAGGTAGATAAATTATGAGCTAGCCTTTAAAATAAAAAATAAATAGTAAGCGTCCCATCAGAATGAAGACAGCTGGCCTCGGTTCCCAAGTTCCCAGGCCTCCTGCAGGGATACAATTTCTAGGCCCCCAAAACAGCCTCTGGTTACGTATCAAAAGTTTTTGGAACAGTGAGTATTATTCCAAGCTATTCAGTACATACCTAGATATAATGAAGTGTATCAAGTGTGCAATTTCAGCCTCAACTCTGACTCTCCTGCAGTTTGCTGGTTGACAGGAGACCCTGTGATGTTTTCTTAATACACTTCAGTGTGGGAATGCGTTTCACGTAGTGATGGAGAACATCGGCCCGTTGGCTGCAACCATAAATGCACACAGAAGACAGTGTTGTTTTTTCCTATTGTGTGCCGAATGAACCAACAGAGAGAAGGTATCGCCTTATGAAACCGTATTTGTTTTTTCTTTCTTGTTGTGACAGTGCCACCTGTATTATTACTAGGGCTATAGGCAATTCTGTACATTTTTAGGGATTGCCCTTGGGCTCTAAGACCATGTCCACCGGTTGCTGAGAAGGGCAGCCTCCCCAAAGAGAAGGCTGCCTATTTGGAAAGCTAAAACTGCTGCCAAGCAATGCCTACGTTGCAGGATCCTGTCCGTGCTCAGTAAGTGAGAGGCGCGGGTTCTGTGCTGCTCTGTTCAGAATGGGATATCAAGAACCTGCTCCTCCTTTTGAAATGAAGGCAGTGCAAGCCATGGCACTTGCTTCCAAGTCACACAACTTGGACTAATAAAAATGAGAGACACAGCAGGGAGTCATCGTGTGACTTGGCATCCTCCTTTGAGTGGCACTACGTGACAATAGCAACTCATCTGCCGCGGTGGTCCTCGGCACAACAAGAGTTAACGCTACTTGATGGGGCTGCCGGCTTTAGAGGGTAGGTGCCAGGGTTACTGCAGAAATGGGAGATGAAAAACCAAAGGATCTAAAAAACTTGTCAGAAGCTGAATGAGTGTGATCTTGACAAAGCTTTTTGTAATCCCTACTTTGCTCTGGCCTTATCCCCAGCAAGGCTCAGCCCTTTATTTAAGGGTTAGCAGACCTTCTGCGTCTGTCACAGTGACAGGGACATTGCAGCTAGGAGATGCAGGGAACAGTGTCAGTGCTCCCACCCGATGGTGCAGGTGGGAGCTCTGCTGCTATGTCTGGACCCTTAGAAATCAGACTTTGCCAGAAGATGATTTTCTGTTTGTCTTTTCTGGATATATAGCCGGCCTATTCTATTTGTACAAAAAACCACAGCAACAACCAAACAAACCCCCCCCCCCCCAACCCCCAAAAAAAAAACACCCCCCCACTCCAAAAAAACAAAAAACCAAAAAAACAC